TCAATCGCTCATTTCTTTTATCACTTATATGTGTTATACCTCACTATCAATGTACCACAGGTGTTTTTATCCATTCACTTCCTGAAGTTGTTTTGGTTGCTTCTAGTTTTTAGCAATTGTGCAGAAAATTTCTTTAAATGGTCATGTTCAGGTTTTCATGTGGACATAACAGTTTCGTTTCATTTGAGTATATATCTATGAATGAAATTGCTAGGCTGACTGTCCAGCTTGTGTTAGCATTGTAGAAGTACTACTTTTTCAAATATAAAATCATGCTAAGACCCCAGTATTCAAAACAGTGGTGTTCAATGTAAGTTTATGAAGCACTTTATTTAGTTAGTTTTTAATGTTCACCAGAGAGAATAGTGAGACTGTTTTGGGAAATATAATTGACACTAAAGGAGGATCAATTTGTGTTTGTGCTTTCTATATGGAGAAAATATTGATTCCCAGGAATGATAGTTTTCTTAATAGCACAACTTAATGACCGCTGCATTTAATTGGGCACTGCATTTAATGACTTGGGTTTAATTGGACATTTGAAAGTTTCATTTTAAATTGAATCCTTAATATAATATCTACATGTATTATGATCACAAATATAGTTATTACAAATAAGACAAGAAACAATTGTGTTGGATTGAATAGTGTTACCCCTAAATTCAGTTACTGGTGTTCTTATAAGAAGACCATGTGACCATGGAGGCAGAGATTAGAGTGATATAACTATAAGCCAAGGACGTCACTTGCTTGCAACCGCCAGAAGTTAGGAAATAAGTGGACAGATCTGGGAGAAACCAATTTGCTGACATCTTGATTTTGGACTTTAGCCTACTGACCGGTGGGAGGTTTTTAACCACCCAGTATTTGGTTGCTTTGTTATAGCAACCCTAGGATACAAGTACAGCTCTCAAACATTAAAATGCTGAAGTTTCTAAGATATGTGGCATACTTAATTAAAATTTCACGCCTTACTCTTATACAAGAGCAAAGAAAGAAGAGGTATATGAATTAGACTTGTCTGACATAAATAATTGTGTTGTATATATTCTGTAATGTGAACACATGCAGACCTAAATTTAATAAAACAAAACCTAGGTGTAGTGGGTTATGCTGTTAACCACAAGGACAGTACACAGGTCAATAGTTAAAAAATACCAGCTACTCTTTGGGAAAAAATTGAGGTTTTTTACTGTCATAAAGAGTTAGTCTCAGCTCACAGGGGCAGTTTTACCCTGCCCTATTGGACCCTAAGAGTCAGCATTGACTTGATGGCAGTGGAATTGATGCTCCAGGGGGATGATTAATAATGTTCTTTAACATAAAATGACAATGATGTCTCTCAGGTGAACCATATATATGTGTGTGTATGTGTGTGTGTGTATCTAGCTATGGATTTTGCATGAATGGATTTGGATTTGGGGCAGTTAGTTCTATGACATGGCCCTGCTTCATGTTCAACCTCCTGAAGAGATCATTGATGCTATAGCAAAGTGTGGTGAGGAAAGTAGATGGTGCTCGGCTACCTGAAAAATAGTGTCTGGATTTTGAAGGCTTATTTTCAAAAAAGCAGCCACCTCTAAATGAGTTGTCAACTAAGCCCACATGAAGCACAGCCCAGCCTGTGTGATCCAAAGATTGTAAGTAATTTAATCCAAATCTAAATGAGGGAATAGTATTA